AATCTTGAATTTTTTTAAACATAGATCTTCAAAAGCTCTATGAATAAATCCATACCGCAAAACAAAAACAAATACTTCTAAACATTTTTATTATGCTCAATTTAATCGAAAGTAGCTATATCTAAGATCATTCTCCAATTTCCAAAATATCGTTTAAATTACTACTCTCGAGAATGAAGTAACCAAAAGATATTTCTATATAATAAAATATGAATCAACACTATCATAGTGAAGATCATTGAAAGAGTTAGATCAGATAATTTCTGAAAAAAAAAGAACAAATCAATTCTATTGAAATCTTCTTAATTACGATTATTCAAATTCATCAAATAATAAATAATATAAATTTTCTGTTTTATTTTTCATCTTGAAAAAAAAACCAACTGAATAGAATAATTTATATTTAATAAATTAAAAAATTAAAAAAAACATTCATTTTTTTAAATTTAATTTCAAAATTTATTTTGTCAAAGTACAGACAAAAAAAAGGAAATGAGGCGATAGCGTCAATGTCACGTATAATTTATTCTCTTAATTGTTTGATGTGTGACAAATAATAAATAAGGGATAAATGCTTGATATTGTTCGAATGATCGATGTCAGGATTTAAACAAATATTCATATGACGATAATGAAACAGTCACCGGATAGAAAAAAAAAAGAAAAGAAAAACTCGAGAAGGAAAACTAATAATAATAATATTAATAAAACAACACACACATCACAAATTGGTCAGGTCATGTATATCAAAAGAACAATCTCCAAATGTCGTTCGCTGAAAATCAAGTATTACTTCAACATCTAAATCAAATGTTGAACTTGGAATTGGATTTTGTAAATTATTTGGTATTTCTAAATCCATTGATGATGCTTGTGATATTTGATTAAATAAAAGATTTGTTGATGGTGATGGAATTAATGGTGATGTTGAAAGAATTTTTCGTCTATCATTATTACTGTTTACTTTTGATTTATTCATTCGATGACGTATTATCACAACAATCATTCGACGAAATAATGGACTTTGAACGATCCATTGTTTTTAATTGTTTACTTAATTTTGATGATATCATTTGATCGATTTCATAATTACTATGAGATGATGATGGAGATTGTGAACTAATTGATGAAGATTTTGATAACGATGAATATGTAATATCAATTCCTGAAAATATAATAAAATTTGAAAATAAAAACAAAATCTGAATTACAACTATTGCTATTATTATTTAATGTCGATGGAGGAGAATGATTTGAGCATATCATGTTATTTATTTGGCATTTGTTGTGTTGATGATGCATATGATTAATCTTGAGAATTATTTTGTAAAAGATTATATAAATTTTTATTCATATCTCTAACAGATATAAATGATCATTGAGTTGATATTGTTGATGTTGAAAATAAAACGTTTAGTGATGATGAGATTTGTTCATTTGAAAACATACTGCAACCAATTCATTTGTTAATAGTGGCAACAGTAGACATGAAATGAAAATATATTCAACTTTGAGTAGTTTTTAAAACTCTATAAAATAGACCTTAATTCAACGCTGAAATAGATTTTGTAAAGATTTATATAGATTCTAGTTGCTTCTGAAAGTAAATTCTATTTTTAAAAACTTGAATGAATGTTTATAATCGGATGGATCATCTCTCTTTCAATTCTGGCACTATATGTATATAATATTTTTCATAAAATACAATTGTATGGTACATGAATTATTTAATGACTGACTATCATTTATTTTATTTCAAAAACAAAACAAACTTAAACACTACATCTGTAACATAAAGATTGAGTCAACAACAATATTTGACAAAATGACTATTAACACAAAAATTGACTAATATTAAACTTTACAAGATTAAAAAGAAAATTTACAATATAAATTCAATTTTTATATACAGTTATATTTATTTCAGCAAATCATTGAGAACTGCATATATAAGAAAATATAGATATACGTTAATTTATTGATTGATCAATGAATTGATCTATTCAAATGTGTCCATTTGTTTACTGAAGATAAAGTTTTGCTTGATTGTCATGTGATGTTGATGACGAAGAAAGTCGAAAAAGACGCGAAAGAAATAGAAATAGATCGTTTTCTTTAATAACCGAAAAGATATTTCTAAATGGTTAGCAGATTCAATCTGAGACCATTAGTGTCTATTAGACTTCGATGAGCCATCGCAATATTAGATGAAAACCATTATCGAAATCCTAATTAACAAGATAAACTAGTGCTTCAACCGACATTTATTGTTGATAATAATATACGTCAACTTTTCTTATCATTCTGTCCCATTATTTATCATATAATGTTTTCCACAGCAACTAAGAATACTATCATATTACCACCTATCGACTGTAAAGTACACTTTTTCTCGAGTCGGATCCATACGGACCCCCATCTCAGTTTTCAAGTATAGAGAGAAAAATTTTCCATCAACCTGTGCAGTAAATGTGAGTAATATTTGCAGAAGATTATTAGAAATAGAATTTAAAAAGAAATCCGCCTTTTCGTACTATTTTCTCGTAACTAAAATTATTCAGCTATTTCAACTAGTCTTTAAAAGTTTCAGAATACATTTTACAATGAAAGAGAATATTCTAAAAAATTCTGATATGATGATACTAAGATCGAGTTCAATTCACTTTTGCACACTTATAACATAAGATAGAACCTTCTACGTAGAATATTTTCTAGAGCTAGACGAATGCATGAAATACTATGAATTGAAACGATATCTCAACAATAATATATATGTAATTAGTTCTACTCTATGGGATCTGAGCGGATCCCAAACGACGAAAACACATTGATGCGTACTTCTAGTTTTTTTTATCATATTGACGATGTAAGAATCGAAGACGCTTATATAATCAATATACCCATCTAACTTTCATTAATGCAATCAAACAATGAGAAGAAGAGATATTGACATAATTATCATGATGAACTTTTTCATACAAGATTTTCATCGACAATTTTAGCCACTATAACTTAAATTCAATAATTGGCACTCAGATCAAAAACCACCGATCGGAGTCGATCATATAACTAGAAAATCGAAGGAATCGTCTTAAAATTTGTTCAAATCCAACAGGAATACGAGGTCCAGAATCTTTCGATCTGGACAAGCATTGATAGTCTATCTAGACTAAGGCATCTTACATGAGGAAATTGAGAACATAAGAAAAAAAAATCAAGATATTTTCTTTCGTTCAACAATTTTCTATTAAATAATTAATGCTGATCAACAAGTTTTGTGTTCTTTCTCAAAGAGCACAAGAGAAATCTATCTTCGACAGAAATTCTCGTGATACAATACCAATTAACTTGTCAAAAGTTGACTGGTGGTCTCTAATACTATCTGCATTTTAGGATGACAGAAAAGTTTATTTGAAATAAAAATTTTAGAGTGTATTACAGAAATTTAGCTCATAGAAGGTAAAACAGATGAGATTTTCTAATGGCTGGCTACAACAAAAAAAAAATTTCAATAAAAGTGCTAATGAATGAATGATATACACGAACATTGACTTGAAATAGATCTCGTCGTTGACGATATTTCCACTCATACAGTTCTTCATAAAGTAGAACTGATATATTTCTGTTAGTTCAAATGAAATTAATGCGACTAACTTAACGTAAATGTGATTCCATATGCTAAGGTGATACTTGTCAACAGTTGTCTCTTGTTCATCTTATTAGTTAACGCATCTTCACATCGACGATTAAAAGCAAGAAAAAGATTGACGAGGCAACAAAATTTAGTTCAATTATTTTTCACTCTTTCTCACAATTTTTCTTTCGCCAGAAATTATCTATTGACTTTACCGTGTATATTGAATTTCGTCTGCCGGTCAATTCACGTCCGGTTCACACGTTGATTCGACGGCATAGTCAGAAAAGAGAGAGAGAGAGATAGAAATGGAGTGACTATTTGTTCAACGCGAAAATGAAATGGAGCACACTGGAATAATAGACAATAACAATGTGCTACTTCTTATTCATTAGATTGAATTAGGCAGAACTGTTGATGTTGTGTTGAAATCGGTGTTTTCAATAACTAGACTGTTTGATACTTTCAATGGCTGAAACAAAACGGAATTTAAGTGATATTGAATCAAATAATGATAGAAGAAAGAAGATACGAAGTAAGTTATATTCATTGATTTATCTTTTATTAACCATTAATGAATCCATTTTATTTCCTTTTCTTAGCAAATAATAAGAAACGGTAATTGACACAATTGTTTTTCTTGAAGTTTTCTAATTGTTAAGAATATTTTAAAATCTAATATAGAATACATAGATCACCCTTCGAAGATTTATCGAACGAAATTGTGTATGAAATTCTGGATTTTCTTGATGGATGTGATGCACATGAAGCATTTTCAAATTTGAATGCCCGTTTCAATCGTATTGTCCATTGTCCATCTCGTCTTCTCAAGATTAATCTTTCGTTTACATCTAAATCGATATTCGAATATCGATGTAAAAAAATAATTTCGGAAAATATCGATCACATCGTTTCACTTCATTTATCAAGTGAACTTAGTATTCATCTCTTTCTCAAATCTTTCTCAATCGATTCGTTCATTCGTCTTGAATCACTCGTCCTCAATCAAATCAAGTCAAATGAACTTGAACCTCTTTTTGCTTGTTTGATTTTACTTCCTCGTCTCTTCTCTTTATCTATCGATGTTATTGACACTATGAAAAACGAAGATCTTATCTTCGGTCTAATCTTTCAATTACCTGTGTTGGAATATATTAATTGTAGGACTCGGACTAGACCTTTACTTCGATGTCCCTATCTTCGTCGCATTCCAAATCATATTATTGGGCAACAAAACAATACAATCAAATATCTGGTTACTAATCATTATTGCAATCTTGATCAACTTGGTCCTCGCTCGTATATGCCTAAACTTCGTCGTTTATCATGTAGTTTTGGCAGGAAGGTCGCAAATATACCAAAAGATATGCCGATGACTCCGTCCGATTTGACACACATCTGTCTCACAGAAGCTTGTTATTTACCATTTGATCAGTTCGAATTATTTATTTCAAAATTATGTCCTCGAGTAGAAATGTTACGTATTAATATACTTGATGAAAAGAATTATCTCGATGCTGAACGTTGGCAATGTTTAATTGTACAGCATATGGGTCATTTAAGGACATTTGACTTTCAACATAGATGCGTGATAGCATCGGATGATTATCAATATAATACATATCATGCAATTATTGATAGATTTTCCTCTCCATTTTGGCTCGAACATCAATGGTATTTTGCCCATCAACATTCCGGTTGTTCAAAGCATCGTTATGGCAGATTTTATTCAATTCAACCATACAGGTATCGAAAGAAGCTTTCTTTAATTGTTTCATTCATTTCTTCTATCATAAGGTATAAATACCATATGTCGCCATTTGAAAACGACTACATATGTCCATATCGAGATAGTGGACTCAATATGGCTCGTCAGGTCATCATTGAAAGCTATCAATCTCTCATTCATTGCTTACTTAGATTTCCACGTGCAACTAAGTTCACTTTTGAGGATAGAGATAACGAAGACAATTATTTGCCTATTACCGATCTCAATCGTATTGTTTCTTTGGCACATCTTAATCAATTAGTTATTGGCTGGAGAAATCTGGAATCTGTTCAGTTGCTTGAACTTCTTCGTCATGCATTCAATGTTCATTCACTGGAACTCATTTGGTTCTCCCATCTACAAATACCATCTTTATCTTCCAAACAAGTTGATAATGATCATGTGATATCTAACAGAAACAATGTTGTTCAATTGATCATTCGATCGAAATCCACTCTGCAACAGCTTCACGTTCTCATGAGCATTTTTTCACATATCAAGCATCTTCAATTAAATATAACCTATAATGATTATCAATCGATCATCAAATTCTTATTATTGGAAAATCGAAACAACAACCGACATCTCTTCTCATTATGTCTCAACATTGGATGTGCAAACTGTGACATAGTGAAGAATGTGAAAGCATTTATCGATAATGAGAACTTACTCGACAACTATTCGATTACATTCTCGAATGATGCTGTCTATTTACGGTGGTAGAAGCTGATTTATTCAATAATGAATATTATTCTTGACTCAGAGTGATGTGTTTGTTGGATTGTATAATGCCTAATACGAATACATGAAACGAGTTTTTATTTTTGAATCTGAAAATATAGGCACGATCTAAACTTTGCAAATATTATGGAAGAAGTTGAAGATCACTGAATAAATGTAATTTTTTGAGATTTAGTTGGGAATCGAACTGAAATTCAAAGATCGATGAGTAAAGTAAGAGAGAGAAGAGGGCTCAAGTAAAAGTCTATATATGTCTAATGATGATTGCGAAACTATTGTTTCTATATAAATATCTCTACTATTTCCAAGAACTGTTTGAATTTTCTAGCAAGGTGTACTTTCTAATTTTTTTAATTAGAAATAAATTAGTCTGTACTGCTAATAGTTATCTTAATGCTGGTTATTCTTAGATGCAATGTACGTCACTTTGTTGTTCATCTATTGAATCTCGTTCTTCAAGGCAATGATGTAATGCACATGAGCGAAGCCAAAGTACAAACTACTGATAAAGCTACTAATCTGTTGTTTTTTCAAAAATCGTTCATATCAATAATAAAAAAGCTTTTTTCCAATGATTAAAAAATTGAAAACATAGCAGTGACTCACTCACATAAAAGTTGTCAAGTGATTTTTATTGATCTTGTATTGTCGCACGTAGCTATTGTCGAAGGAAAAAAGCTTACGTTTATATTGTAGTCGATACTATCAAAGGGTTTCGAGTTTGTGCCCAGGATAAGAACCTTTTGTAGCTCCGGTGGAACATTTTTTGCCGTTTTTAGGGTTCGATAATAATACACCTATTTTTTTAGAGTGTAGGAGGTCCTCATCATCAAATACTTTTTACATTCTTATTTTAGATTGGATCATTGTTTTTCCTATGTCCAATGTTCATGTGATACCAGGGTTGCCAAATCTTCTGATTTGAGCAGGGAACTCCTGATTTTTTATCTTTTCTTCTGATAAGAAATCTCCTGATTTCAGGAGCTGATTTTTATGATTTTTTCCTAATTTCTCCTGATTTATAGTTTTGTTTCTAGTTGACTAAAGCAGAAACCAGTGAATTAGATATGATCTCATATAGACTTGCTAGACATTGTACGTACACCTAACTTACAAAAGCTACTGTAGTTAAAGTACGCTTTTCTCATTTCTGCTTCAAGTGAATTTCGTGAAACAGCTTTTAGAGACGTGAGGTATAATCGAGCAACCACAGACATACAATGAAACATGATTTTCTATCAGCTGAACTGAAATTTAAAATGGAAACATATCACACTAGCACATAGTTTTATGATTATTTCCTACGTAAACCTTATCCATTGAAACAATTATGTTGATCAAATAACTAAGTCATTTTTTAAAAGTACGACGAATTGCTCAGTAAAAAGCTCTTATCATACTTGTTGCTTGATATCTTGATTCATATTCATTAATGAGTTAATTTCATTTTTCAATATTGTGCACTTTAATAAATGATTGTGAAATAACTATTAAACCTCTCCGCTTAAAAAACTCGAGATCTTCTAATATGCTGCAGCGTACACTCCCTTAAGGCATCTTTCTATTATGATACACATTTTCCATAGGTTTCAATGCAAGATATTTTGACAAAGCTCCCTGATTTACCAGACTTTTTCGGGGCTATTCAGAGTTTTTCAGGATTTCTAGCTTTTGTTTGATAAAAAATCTCCTAAAAATAGACTGTTTTAACTGAAAAGTATTGACAACTGATGTAACAATTTTTAACTGTTACTTAAAATTAAGTACATCTTCTATGACGTCCTTCATATCAAATCCTCCATTAGTCTTCTAATATGAAAAAGTCTTCTGTTAAAGAAGGGGTTTAATATAAAATATATCGGATTATCACGTTTTTTTTAATTTTAATTCAGATGAAAGGAAATTTTTCACTATAAGCTTGATATACAAAAGAGAAAATTGCTTATGTAAGCAAAAGATTGAATTTTCTTTGTGTAAAACTATGTAGACAGCTCTCAGACATCAAGTAAAAGTCTCCGGATTTTTTTCCTGATTTCTTAAATTTGAATTTGGTAAGCCTGTGTGATACATACATATGCATATATAGTGAAATGATGATGATGGCTTATTTTCAATCGTTACTAATTGTTCAATTTTTAATGTTCAATTTTAAAAAGAAAATTAATTCAACAGAGAATTGATTTAATTGAAAATGAGAACAGTACATTGGCTCTGTTGCCACTCTGTGTCCATGCCATTATACTATAGAATGTTCATCGGTTCATTTTCATATATGTTTTAGATAATATGACTTCTTCGTTAAATACTATCTCATTTCTTCCTTCACAAAGAAAGCCGGCGCTATTGATGAACGGGTATATATATATATAAACTGAACAAAACTATAAGTACAACAAAATATTGTCGTTGTGAAGATCTCATTGCACTGTTACTCTACATACAAATATAAATGATGCTTATTTAAAAAGTAATGGTGATCATGACTGATATTTATATTATCTGATTTATATTATAATTTATTTTCGTATTTTATTCCCTTTTTTTTCTGCATAGAATAAAACTTTCTATCATGATTACAAATCAGACTACTAATATCCTTGTTTCTCTCTCCTTGCAACATCTGTTCTCTCGACCGTTATATATCTATTTTTTGTTCTACATATATTTGCATTTCAAG